AAACAACATTCAAATACCCCCCACCACTTTATTTCGAAAGATAGAGAAAAATTGTTTTTACAAAAAATATTCGACTTTAAGTTAACATTAAAACGCAAATACTTTTTTGTTACATTCATTGGGGAAAATCGCGAGAAACGTAACTTTATGTAATTCAAGATGGTGGAAACGCCCACTGGCGGCCATCTTGGAAACTTGAAAATAATTTCCAGCATTTTCCCTTGCCCACTTTATCTATAAAATTTTTTACCGTAGCTCTCTACGATCATTAGTTTCTGAGATACAGCCGCTTACCTCGCTTATTTGCCCACCCTGTACATAACAAAATAATCGCTCCAAATTATTTGGCAACAATTTATCCGCCAAAATTTTGGTATTTTACAATTTTCCTTGATGACCCAAACTAGCAGTTGTGTCTTTGCAATTTATGCAATTCAACGATAAATCGGCCAAATCGGTCGATAAAACTGCTCGTGTATATTCAGCTATTAAAAGGTTCCATCCCATTGTTCCTGCCTTATAACCAAAAGCAATAAATTTGCAAAACTTAGCCCTTGCTGCCATATAGAAAATGGACATCATAAAATTAGAGAGCATATTGAATTTCTGGACAACTGGCAAGCATCTTTTCGCAACAAAAAGAAGGGAAAAATTGATAATTGTTCTTCAAAGGATGCCCAGGTATATACCCGCGAAAATAGGAAGAGGAGAAAGTTTTTAGAAGTCTTTTTTTTTTTGAAGAAACAAGAGTTTCAAGTTAGCAACTTCAAATCTCCAAAAAGGCAGTTGTTCTTGGGTTTCCATACAGATTTAACCTTAGGATCTCAATGTTAATTTATGAATGATGGGTAATATCATGATTCCAAAGGACCCTGCACAAAATGAATGGAAATTGGGTCCCGCTAAATTTTGCTGGAATTGTGATATGTTTATAGTTCTCGACATTGTGATCAAAAGTTGTCATGGGCCCAAAGTGATCCTAGGGATAGTTTCGGTGATATAGAGGGGGGAAGTGTGTAATTTTGGCTGTAGGACTGAGTAAGCTTCACGAAGTTTCCAGTTGATGGATTAAAAACTGAGGTATATAATGAATTTTGACCAGTAGGTATAATGCTTTTGGGATCGCTGAACTTGAATTGAAAAGGCTTGTATTGAATATTGATGTTTTTTTTTTGGGGGCGGGGAAACTGAATTTGGGGTTAGCTTAGCCCTACAGGGTCACATTTAGGTCAAGTCAAGGTCATTTCAAGGCCAAGTAAGGAAAAGGCCTTTCACAAATGTTAACCTGTAAGTAAGTATGCTTTTAAGGTCGCTGAACCTGAATTCGGAGATAGCTTAGCCCTATAAGATCAACTGCGGGGCTTGAATTGAGATTGAGTAAAATAAAATAGCCTTGACTTGATTTCCAGGTGACCTTGACTTGATTTCCAGGTGACCTTATACGGCTAAGCTATCCCCAAATTCGGGTTCAGCGACCTCAAAAGCATACATACTTACAGGTTAACATTCATGAAAGGCCTTTTCTTTACTTTGACCTTGAAATGATCTTCACTTGACCTAAATGTGACCTTGTAGGGCTAAGCTATCCTCAAATTCAGTTCCTCCCCAAAAAAAACTTATATGCGCCCTGGTTGAAATTCAGTACAAGCCTTGTCATTAGTTTCATCTTGAAATGACCTTGAATTGACTTGAAGGCGACCTTTAGGGTTACACTACCTCCAGATTCAGATTCTGCGAGCCCCAAAACCTATACACTCACTGGTCGAAATTCAATACAAGTCTTTTCTTCAGTTTGCCTTGAAACGACCTTTACCTGACTTCCAGGTGACCTTAGAAAGCTAAGCTATCCAAGAATTCAGGTTCAGCGATCCCAAAAGCATTGTACCTACTGGTCAAAATTCATTACATGCCTCAGTTTTTGAATGCATCAACTTGAAACTTCGTGAAGCTTACTCAGTCCTACACTCCCCCAATATCTCTGAAACTATCCATACCAACTAATCAGAATGTCGAGAACTATAACATATCACAATTCCAGCCAAATCTAGCAGGACCCAATTTCCATTCATTTTGTGTGGGGTTCTTTTGCCATGTATCCGTGATGCCTTGAATCTCGGAAATTACGTTGTCACGTGCAAAATAGACACTGATATTGTTTATTTGAATCTGTTGTGTTATAGTTGTTTTGTTTATTTCAATTTCATACATTGTCATTAAAAACCTTAAGAGAGCAAAGGAACGTTAAGTGCCTGAAATTCATTCTCTGAGTGTACAACATTTCTAAGTTCCCAACATATCATAATTAAAGTGTAAATAATAGTAGATGAGCTCTCTTTCACAAATGATGTCGTTGCGGTACTGTTCGTAACTATGGATAAAGTAATAACCCTTCAGGTTACAAAATTTTTACTTACAGCCAGCCAACTGAACACATCCAAAATTTAGACATACTTTAAGAGTTAGAAATAGAAACATTCACGAGATCAAAAAATTCATGTAAAATAAATAAGGACTAATGAAATATTGAAAATGTGTCACTCTATCTCACAACTGAAGCACTTGTGACTTTCATATGAATCAGCATAAAATTTTTGTATATTCATTTAAATTCCTAAAACATTCTTTACCATTCTGTTTCACTGAATTGGCTGAAGTAGAAGATTTAAAACTATTCAGATCAGAAATCAACGGTTTACTAAAATGAAAAGGCTTACCTTACATTCTTCCTGCAATATTGAAACTTGTTCTTTCAACTTTTCAATTTCGTTCTTGCTTATGGCTAATTGTTCCTTCAAATGAGCTACCTCAGATTCAAGAGAATCCTTCTCTTTCCTGGCATTGTCTAAAAGTTCATCCAATTCCGATTTATCACTCAATGCCCTGTCCTGCTCTAGTTCGATGATCTGGAAAATATGAAATGCCCCTAAGAAATAGAGTTCCCAAGTTTTCCAGTCATAATGTTGGTAAATTATAGTGTACGCCAGGAAATATAGAGTTGGACGCGACTTTTTGTTTCGGCAAGCTGAATTTATCACTATAGAAGCTAAATGTTATGTACAATAACATATTAGTTTCCACGGTCATACAAATGAGGGGAAGATTGTTTACAGGGTGGTTAATTGTATAATTTTTATGTAAATTCACGTTTTTCGCTTATAACTTTCTTCCGTTCATTTCCACGAGAAAACAGTAAAGTACTTCTTTTTCATCTTCAAAATACCTACAAAACTAGCCCTCGAGCGTCAAAAAATATTGATTAGATCAAAGGTTATAAACAAAAGAAGTTTATTTATGTCTTTCGAATTAAACATTTATAAACTGCGTTAAAAGAACGTTTTGGCATCGCATCCTCTCATTCCTTATCACTGTCTAATAACTCACACAAAATCTGGAATCGTTAAGTTGAACACTTTACAAGTTATGGCCTTATGAACAAATTAACTAATTATTAGTCTGGACGATCCTGAGCATCTTCCACAATGCCACTAATTTTTTTCATGGTAGATTTCATAATAATACATTGAAATCTATATATTTTTTTTAATTTCAAATTTGCAACCTGACATTTTTTTTATTTTTTTAGCTTTAGTTGCAAAATGAATTATACGAAACACGCGCGTGATATAGTTATACAGGGTGTCTCACATTTAAATAGCAGGACTTCAGGAATCAGTAGAAGACCTCATTTTGAGTCTAAAAGTTCCTATATATATGGGTCCTAAAACGCTTTGTTTCTGAGATACAGGGCGTTCAATTTTATTTTTGTTTTATTTATTTATTTTTTAACTAAATAACCGCTGACAAAAAAAATCATCATGTTGCGGCGAAAGACTTAGTATTTAAGGGCAAATAATTTGACACAGAAAATCATCGCATATTAGTTCCAGTGGTGGAGATAGAGGGGTCTCTATGCATATTTTTATAAAAAAAAGTATAGCCGATTTGATATTTTCCAAATGTTTTCGAAAAATATGAAAGAGCATTCAATTTTACCCAGAAAAGGCCCTCTTGTCCAAAGTCGATAGGAGGTGGCGTTTTCAAGAAAAACCGAAAATACTGTTTAGAAGTCAAATAAAGAAAAACCGAAAATACTGTTTAGAAATCAAATCAGACTTGAAATGTCATTCTAATATTGACATTTGCGCTTATTTTATTATAGTTTCTAATTGTGTGTAGAGTATTAAAAAAAATTGCAACAAATTCAAAATGCCGTTTAAGTTTACGAACCAAGAATACGCAGATATTCACTTCGTATACGGGTTTGCCAATGGGAACTCGGCAGAAGCTGCTAGGGAATATCGGAGACGATTTCCTAATAGAAGACAGCCGCATCCACACGTTTTTATTAATGTTCATCAACGTTTCGCTAATGACGGATTGAATCTGGTCCATAGGGATCGCAACATAATTAACGTTAATATTGGCAGAAATAGGAGGAATCAGCGAATCTTGCACGAATTTGACAGAGATCCCACGACGAGTACCAGAAAAATTTCCAGGATTATTGGTGTTTCCAGGTGCACTATTTCTAGAACATTAAGACGAGATCATAGACATCCCTACCACTTACAACCTGTTCAGGGTTTACGTCCGGGTGACGAGGAACATAGAATAGCTTTTTCTCGGTGGATTCTTAACTCAATTGAAAACGACGGAAATTTTTTATCACACATATTATGGACCGACGAGTCATGTTTTACTCGTCGAGGTGTGACAAATTTACACAATCAGCATGAGTGGGCACATGAAAACCCGCATGCAATCAGACCACGAAATTTTCAGCACGAATTTAGTGTTAATATTTGGCTCGGCGTTTATAACAATTGTCTTTTCGGCCCTTACATCTTACCTCAACGACTGAATTCTGCGAATTTCTTAGAGTTCTTAGAGACCGAGAGTGCCAACATGTGGGAGGAAATTCCTCTGAATTTAAGAATGCGAGCATGGTTTCAACTTGATGGCTGTCCAGCTCATTTTGGCCGAAATGTCAGGAACTGGTTGAACACCCACTTTCCCGAAAAATGGATTGGCCGCGGGGGTATCGTTGCATGGCCTCCCCGATCCCCTGATCTGACACCCCTAGATTTTTTCCTCTGGGGTTTTATTAAAGAGAGAGTTTATACCACTACTGTGGACACAAGGGATGAACTTATTCGTCGGATTCGGAACGCATGCAGTGAAATCAGAGACAATAACTTAATTCAAATGAGACGTTCTATTCAGCGTCGGTGTCAGTTATGTATCGAAGAAAATGGTTTACATTTCGAACATTTGCTTTGATGTAATATGGTTTTCGTTATTTATTTTTGTATTTATTTTCATTTAATTAATTAAAAACAATTTTAACCGAATTTTTGAACTACATATTTAATTTAGTTGTAACACAATGTTTAAAAATTATTATTTGACTTCTAAACAGTATTTTCGGTTTTTCTTGAAAACGCCACCTCCTATCGACTTTGGACAAGAGGGCCTTTTCTGGGTAAAATTGAATGCTCTTTCATATTTTTCGAAAACATTTGCAAAATATCAAATCGGCTATACTTTTTTTTATAAAAATATGCATAGAGACCCCTCTATCTCCACCACTGGAACTAATATGCGATGATTTTCTGTGTCAAATTATTTGCCCTCAAATACTAAGTCTTTCGCCGCAACATGATGATTTTTTTTGTCAGCGGTTATTTAGTTAAAAAATAAATAAATAAAACAAAAATAAATTTGAACGCCCTGTATCTCAGAAACGAAGCGTTTTAGGAACCATATATATAGGAACTTTTAGACTCAAAGTGAGGTCTTCTACTGATTCCTGAAGTCCTGCTATTTAAATGTGAGACACCCTGTATATTATTACATATTCGGAAAGCTTATGAAAAGACCTTTAAGTTAAAAAAAAATCGCCAAGTTTCGTTGAAAAACAACGGAATTACAGACTAATAATATATAACTATATCACGCGTGTGCATCGTATATTTCATTTTGCAACTAGGGCTAAAAAAGTGAGCAAAATCCGCCTGTTTTTGAGACTTTGAGAGATGCGGCAGGAAAAATCCTAAAGATATTCTAAAAATATCAAAAAACTCATCATGAAAAATGAAAATGAGCATCACTTTCAGTTTTTCGAAAATTTGAATTGAAAAGACAAAAAAAGTGAATAAATTTAGAATCATCTAAAGTTGTAAAACCCCACATATTTCTATGTTGTTATCAAAATAATACTATGAACGTGAAAATATCTAATATCGTATTTGATACAGTCTTGTCCGGATTGAAAATCAACCCTTAATATCCCTAAAGGGGTGAAATCATCCCCTAAACGCCTAAAAATGCAAAAAATATATTTTTTTTTTCTTTTTCTTTTATACGTGATAATTGAACCGTTAATAACCCACAATCACTAGATCCGAAGGAAAATACCCCTAATGAGGGTAAAACCACCCCTACGTTCAACCATATATGTATAAAAGAAAAAGAAAAAAAATGTAACTTTTAATATATTTTTTGCATATTTAGGCGTTTAGGGGATGATTTCATCCCTTTAGAGATATTATGGGTTGATTTTCAATCCGGACAAGACCGTATCAAATACGAAATTATATATTTTCATGTTCATAATATTATTTTGATAACAACATAGAAATATTTGGGGTTTTACAACTGTTGATGATTCTTAATTTGTTCACTCTTTTTGTCTTTTCACCCCCTAAATAAGGGTGATTTTCGAAAAACTGAAAGTGATGCTCATTTTCGTTTTTCATGACGAGTATTTGGATATTTTTAGAATATTTTTAGGATTTTCCCTGTCGTCTCTGTCAAAGTCTCAAAAACAGGCGAAAAAAATGGCTTTTTTTTTGCGGTCACTCTTTGAAATTAAAAAAAAAAATGATAAGTTTCAATGTATTATTATGAAATCTACCATGAAAAAAATCAGTGCGATTGTGGAAGATGCTCGGGATCGTCCAGACTAATAATTAGTTAATTTGTTTAAGAGGGCATGTAAACAATTCAACTTACCGATTCCAGATTTCGTGTGAGTTATTAGACAGTGATAAGGAATGAGAGGATGCGATGCCAAAATGTTCTGGTAATAATAATGCAGTTTATAAATGTTTAATTCAAAAGTCATAAATAAACTTCTTCTGTTTATAACTTTTGATCTAATCTATATTTTTTGACGCTTGAGGGCTAGTTTTGTAGGTTTTTTAAAGACGAAAAAAAAGTACTTTACTCTTTTCTTGTGGAAATGAAGGTTAAAAAGTTATAAGAGAAAAACGTGAATTTATGTAAAAATTATACAATGAACCAGCCTGTAAACAATCTTCCCCCTATTTTTATGACTGTGGAAACTAATATGTTATTGTACATAATATTTAGCATCTATAGTGATAAATTCAGCTTGCCGAAACAAAAAGTCGCGTCCAACTCTATACTTCCTGGCCTACACAAATTACTTATCACAAAACAAACCAGGTACTCAATTCGGTTTCAATACCATTGAATTAAAGTTTATTTACATAAATTTCTTAGATTGTGTTTATTTTTGTCTAATGACTTCTAATTCTAATAGACAGTTAATTAAGATTTAACTTATTTTCTGCAAATGTCACTGAAAAATTGATAAAATTGAAGTGGAAAGACCACTAATTTTCAGAATTTTTTTTTATTAATTTAAAAGATGTTCTGAACCTTCTAGAATAAGGGAAAAAGAAGTTTTACACCTGGACAATTTTTTGTTCTTTGATATTCTAACTCTTCTAACTCTTTCCCAAGCGCACCGGACTGCTCCGAAACGATTACTTGCAAGAAGGGTACAGCCTAATGACTAACATTTTGATTTCTAACTTTTCAAAATTACTAATAGATGTCGTTAATACCAACAGATGTTGTTAGAAAGAGTTTGTGTTCAATTAGAAGCATTTTCAAATGAAAGTAGGTTAGCATAGCGTATATCCCAAAACTTTAAAAGCATTTTTCTCGAAACACGATTTGCTACAATGGCACACACATAACTCCAATATATTTGTTTGAACACTTAAATACATGGTTAATAACATCCATGAGTATTACCCTTTTACTTTTCCTTTCGTTAAAAAAAAAAGTAAAAAAGGCTTTATTTTAGCATTTTGAAGTGTTTCTCCTTAATTACAAATAACACCTTAAATATTATTTTGCGAAACCTTTTCGCAAAATAATAGATTTATATACCAGGTGTCCAGAAAATAATGCAACAAAATTTGGTCAGATTCTTAAGGGGTTATATCACTTTGAAAAAAATTTTTTTCAATTTCTTTTTTATTGGCTTAAAATATGCTAAAACATTCCTAGATTCATAATCAAAAACTTTTTTGCATGAAAAAAACAGAAATATCTGTAAAATTAATTTTTCCGTAGCAATTGCGAAGCATATAAATAGCGAATGTCGCTTCTATCGTCGATATAGCAATTCCGTGTACGTAAAAACGCCTATAACCTTCCGATAATCGAAAAATACTTCAAAGATGAACCATAGATGTTATCACAAGCAAAAAAACGTTATTATAAAAAAAAATTTAATGCACCATATTTTTGGTTTCCAAAAGTTACGGCATTCTCAAACTTCAAACGCATTTTTCTCGAAATCATGTTTTTAAAATCGGCGAGCAGCAGAACTCAAAAAGTTTTCATCCGATCGACTTGAAAATTGAACTGTAACTGCATCGTATGATTATCTAGTGAAGTACATACGATTTTTACAATTGGTTAACAGGATGTTTTTTTATAAACAACCAGTCGATTTTTCTGTCAAAAATTGGAATTTTTTGTTCGTTTCGCCAGTTTGCGAAAAAAAATTCTTAAAATTATGATCGTGTGTACTTCACTAGCTAAACTCATGCAGTTTATGAAAAATATTTTTTTAAGCTTCCAGATAGTGATCCAGGGGACTTCTACTGCTCGCCGCGGAGGGCCTTTGAAGAATTTAGTTTTGTTCATGCGCTCCTACAGCTGCCATTTTGCAATAAATTTTCAATAAAAAAAAATTTTCTCGCTCCTAAAGAGTTGCTTAATCGATTGGTGTATTTGTTGTTCATAATTAGTATAAAACAATGCTCAAAGAAAATTCTTGAAAAGTATTTTTTTTTGGGGGCTCCAAAGTGATATAATTTAGGGGCCCCGTATTTTTTATTCTTGCCAAGTGGCCCTTATTTCAGAGTTAAAGTCTCCAAAATCCACCCCTAAGAACTCTGTTGTCCAAGGATCGCTAAATTTGGTACACAGGGGTCTTATGACATGTGGAATCTGATGCTACGCTTTTTGGCGGTGAACACCATTAAGACAATTTTTCGTAGGTCTCCTTGTCTTTGAAGCTAAAAAAATTTGGCCACATATATGAATTTCTTAAATATTATTAGTTCGTTAGAAAGCCATTGGATTTAGAAACTTTTTTTTTCGTAAAACGCAATGTTTTCGAAAAATGATATACATTTGATCACATTTTGCCATTTTTCTCGAAAACATTGCATTTTACGAAAAAAGTATCAAGAGACAATGTTTCTAAATTCAATGGCTTTCTAGCGGACTAATAATTTTTAAGAAAAAGCGTGGCACTGTCAGATTCCACGTCATAAAACCCCTGTGTACCAAATTTAGTGATTCTCGTACAAAAGCAGGGTTCTTAGGAGTGGATTTTAGGAGGCTGTAACTCCTAAATAGGGGGTCACTTTGCAAAAATAAATTACGGGTGCCCTAGATTTGTTTTAAGAATCTGTGACAAAATTTGGTTGCATTAATTTTGGGACGCCCTATATTTTAAAAAATTTTCCACTAAAACTCACAAAACTAACACTATTTCACATTTTTAATCTTTTTGTCGACAGTAAATTTAATTAAAAAATGTTTTGCCTCTTGTCAGACAACATAAAAATTCCATATTTCTATGTATGATTACTGACCCTGACTACTACAATTTCCTGACATTTCCATTTTTTTTACATCTGTAACAACTCTGAAGACATAACAGAACATAATTAACAAGGAATAGGTAGACTGCTTTACTTACTTTTGTTCGAGCATTATCCAACAAGTGCGTAAGTCGGTTAATCTCAATCTGCTTCCCGCTGCACTGATCCTTAGCCTGAGCCAGCTCCTGATCTATTAGCTTATGCTCGGCATGTTTGGCGTCTAGAGTGCTCTCCAGAGTCCGAACTCTCTCCGACAGCTGAGTTATCCGTTCGTCCTTCTCGATTAACCCGGCCCTAGTCTCTTGTATCTCATTATTCGCTTGCTCCAGTTTGAGAAGCAGCGATTGCTTTTCCTCCTGGGCTGATTTTAACAATTCCACCAGTTTTTGTTCCCTCTCGATCGCCGACTCGTACTGACCGGCCTCGTCTTTTTCTCTATAAAGCAGTTGCTTCAGGGATTCCACCTCGGATCGGGAATCGTTCAGTCTTTCCGTTTGCCTACACAAGCTATCAAACATAAGTGTCTTTTCTTCGTTTAAGCGTTCGTTTTCCTGCTGAAGTTCAGTGAGTTGGCGTTGGAGGTCAGTGAGCTCCTGTAATGTAGCCTGTAGTTCCTCGTTTGTACTGAAAATAATAAAATAAACAATTTAAATTAATTTTGCTACCATCACGATTAAAATATTAACTTTAACTTTTAATAGTTGCGTAATAGATCATATAATTTATCTATCTCAATAGCAATTATTAAATATTATTTACCTATAGTGAGTTTCCTGCATTTGGTTTATTTTGTCCTGTAAGCAAGCAACCGACACCTCGCTGACATTGCTCGATGAATGCTTATCCCAATCAGGAGTGGGACAAGCCGTAATATCACCACCAGTTCCTTCATCAATTAGCTGCAATAGAACAGAACAATAAATTTACATCCACACATGCATGAAAGAGAATTTTTTTACAACGTTCTGCTTTCAACACTTACGTTTGTTGCAATAGATGCAGGTGCAGAACTGTGGTGCCTGTGGTGGGTCTCGTACAACAACTGCTGCTTCTCGTTGTCCGAAAGAGGAGAATGTGCGACATCTCGCAGACGGTTCCTCAAGGCTGTATTCTCTTCTGTGAGTTGTTCCAGTTGCAGATTCGATTCATCCTGAAAACTCTATGGAAGAATTGACAAGGAAATTCGATTATATAAGGAATTAACTATACCTTTAAGCTTTGTATTTCCTTTTGCAGGATATTGAGCTGTCCCTTTTGCTCGCCTAACTGTAGGGCCAAGTTACTCTTTTCTTGGGCCATCTCTTGTAGCTGCCTCCTTAGTTGTACGAATTCTTCTTCTTGTAAAGAATCTATAGAGGGAAAGGGGCTCTCGCCCGACTCCAACTTATTGTTGTTCTTAGTTATGCCTGAAATTAACATTAAACACATTGATATATTTTACAAGTATTTCCCAATTTCCTGGTAACTGATCCAAATACAATTTGAAAAGCTTCGTTTAAAATATGAGATTTGAAGAATATTCAAAAATTTTTAATGACAATGTTAATTACCTATACAGGGTGTGGCATGTATAATCTATAAAAATTAAACTACAGCTTCCTGATGATATTTGTAATAGAAAACTCTTATACGAAAAAGTTCTATCTTCGCGTTTTTTTTAAATTAAAGTTCATTTATTCAACGAAAATGAAGGCCGACCCTGTGGTATTTATTAAAAAGTTTGGAAATGTTTTTATGCGACCTGAGATACAACCTTATAATTTAAGTTGGTATAATCTAATACTAGTAATATTAAAAGAAGGTTAGATTACATTGTCAAATAATTTGTGCAGTCAACTGTGTTTGTATTTGTATTGTCCGTCAACCTATCAGTGTTATAAAGTGAAAGATTCCAGACAAAAGTTTTTATTTTGTAATTCCACGATAGTGTCAGTGTAATTTTTATAAAGAAGTAAAAAATAAGAATAGCGTGCCAATTACATTTAAAACGAGATTCTTATTTCTTACTTTGCTTATTTTTTTAGTTTGTGCACAAACTGGTTCTACAATGAACCGAGAAAACAATGCATTTACTATTTCCGAACGTGTCGATATGGTGTTAGTGTATGGTGCAGCCGGAGAAAATGCGCTCGCGGCGACTAGGTTGTACCGGGAACGCTAGCCACAACGTCACCCCCCATGTGCAAATACAATCCTACAGTGAGTTCAGCAGCTGCGAGATACGGGATTATTCCTCGAGGAGAAGGACGTAGTCAGCAAGTGAACATTAATGTTGAAGATGCAGTGCTAGAAAATCTTGACGAAGACCCCATAATTAAGGCGCCAGCTGTTGCACTCCTATCATCTGCAACCAGGTCAACAGATTTTACCCCCGGATTGTGATCACCGAATGCGTTTTTGCAGATGGTTTTTACAGCAATGTGCCAATCAAGTAGACTTTCTTGCTTATGTTTGTGTAACAAATGAGGCGACATTTACCCGTGATGAAGTGAATTTCCATAATATGCACATATGGGTCTATGAAAATCCTCATGCGATTAGGGAAACTCATTTTCAACATGGGTTCTCGGTCAATGTTTGGGCTGGCATAATAGCCGATGTACTTGTGGGTCCCTATGGATCCCTGGACTTGAAGTCATTGGTTTACAATATTCCAATTGCTACGGTGGAAGAATTGCGAAACCGTATATTCGAGGCTACTGACACAATTAGGGGAATACCTGTAATTTGGGAAAATATTCGCAAATCGTACAGCACGCGGACAGGACCGTTCCATATAAAATATTTTGATCCATAATTAAACTTTAATTTACAAAAAAAAAAACGCAAAAATAGAACTTTTTCATATAAGACTTTTCTATTACAAATATCGTTAGGAAGCTGTAGTTTAATTTTTATAGATTATACACACCACACCCTGTATAGCAAGCAAAAAGCACTACAGTTAATTTATTTCAATGTGATGGTATAAAATTAGCTTCAAACAACTTTTTAAACCTTTTCTTCGCTTTTGGGAAACAATTTTGTTGAGTTATAACTTAGCATTATTATATCAAGTAATAAATGGAGAGAAAAATTACACTAGGTGGATTAGGAGACCCAGATAACGTTGAAATAGGGATTAACAGTGTAATATGCAATTTTGTTTGCATTTTGCAATTTATAGATCTAGTGAAAAATATTTAATAATAAAAGAAAATAAGAAATATACATATATCCGAGTATACAGGGTGTCCAAGAATAACGTGTACAACGGAAGTCCGCAGTTTCGTGGATTTAAATTAGGCAGATTTAGGCTAATTCTCCTATATCCGAAATCGCTTCACTTAGCCGCAAGATGGCCTCAAAGTTCGTGATTTTTTTTTTTAATTTTGTAAATAACTCGAATATGTACCTATTAATCGATTTTAATTATTTTTGGGGTGTGGACTCTTGCTTTCAATCTACAAATTTTGGTGTTATACAAAGTGTTTTTTAAAACTCACAACCTTTACAAAATTGATGTATGGTGATAAAAACCGTTTATAACTTTTTCTTCTTTCGGACAATAATGACTATGTATTTTTTATTTGATAAGTGATACCATTTGGAACTTTGTGGACCTCTTATAGAATTTTGATTAAATGAGGAGTTTGGGTACAAAAAAATATTTTTTATATGGATACGTTATCTTGCGACCCATATTACAATACTTAACAAAGTGCTAGTAGTCATTGATTTTGTAGGTTGACTGTAATTTCAGTTTGATCTTTAAGTCATTGTACCTGCCAGTTCTTAATGAGTGTTTACTACGATAAGATATACCACGTTACTTCATTTTTCGATATGGATACACACATTAAGAGTTATTTACATGTGCTTAATTTTATTGAAATAATTCGTTAAAACAATCAAATAAAATAAAAATTGCTGGAGATAAAAGTAACAAAGTTGATGTTATTAAATTTAGTACAACTTATTATAAAAACTATTCACCATTGTTTCTACAACAAAGATTGATTTGCGAAGAAAGTTAAATGACACCCTTTGCAGTTCTTAAGGGTTATTTTTTAAAACGTTTATGGTGTTTTGGATATGCCTCCACAACTCTCATTTAGTATTAGTTGTGGAAGCATGCACTGTTGTTTTCAGAGTGCCCCAAAGGTAATAGTCGCAAGGTGCTAAGTCTGGTGAACGAACAGGCCAGTTAACAGAAATATTATTCCTCTACCGATCCATCGACGAGGGAATCTTTGGTTCAGATACTGCCGGACATTTACAGTGAAATGTGGTGGAGCGCTATCATGCATAAACCACATGTTAACTCTGAGTAATAGCGGCACATCTTTCAATAACTCGGGTTTTGCATAAATTCTAAATACATTTCCCCATTTAGTCTATTGGGTAGAATAACAGAGCCAATAATCATGCTATCAATGATCCCATACTAAACATTGATGCGAAATTCATGCTGATAATGTTGCCCTTTGATAGCATGTGGTTTTCTTGAGCATGCACATATTCATTCTGAATAGTTTTATTATTCCGTTTCTGGTAAAACAGGTACAATGATTTAAAGATCAAACTGAAGTTACAGTCAACTTACAAAATCAGAGCCTACTGGCACTTTGTTAAGTAATGCAGTATGGATGGCATTTAAAATTTTTTTTTTTTGTATCCACTGTTCATTTAATCAAAATTTTACAAGAGGCCCAAAAACTTCCAAATGTTATCTCCTATCATATAAAAAATAGTTGTCATTATTGCCTGAAAGAGGAAAAAGTTATGAGCGGATATTATCACCATACATCAATTTTGTAGGAGTGGTGAGTTTAAAAAAACACTGTAAAACACCAAAATTTGTAGATTGAAAACAAAAGTCCACACCCAAAAATAATCAAAATCGATTAATACATATTCCAGTTATTTACAAAATTCAAAAAATTTTCACGACTTTGAGGCCATCTAGCGGCCAAACGAAGCGATTTCGGATATAGGTGAATAGCCTAAATCTGCCTATTTTGAGTCCACGAATCTGTGGTCTTCCATCGTGTACGTTATTCTGGGACACCCTGTATATCAATTTGCTTTGGACTATATCTAAAATACTTTTGATAATGGCTATACCGAATGAATCGAACACGATATAAAATTTAGGTGCATTTGACACGGAAATAATCCAACTTTTCAATTGTTTACACGAGGTGTAAATTTAGTGCATAATTGTTTAATAGTTTGGGAATATATATTTAGGGAAATCATATTGTATCGACTTATTGAACATAAACATATTTTAATTCTACAAGGGGTTTTATTTAAAAATTTTGGAGCAAGCATAGTGTTTACATTGACATATATTTATTAACGATTTAATTCGTTTTTTTTTTAATGACAGCTTGACATTTGAATTCATTTTCAGTTATTAAAGCCTATTTATTATTTCTTTTTTGATGTCAGTTAACAAAAATTAGTTAGAGATCTTTTTACTAAAAATATGAATATACCTAGGTACCTACCCCTAGATACTGTATTCCTTGAACATTTTATTCATTTATTTAATTTACAGATGTTTAAAATGAACATAAATGATAAAACATTAATATCAATTTTACAATAAAAATATTATTTTGTTTTACATTTTTTAATTTTTTTTTAATTAATTTATTTTTGTCTGACAATGGAAATTAATTGAATGAGCTTTGATAACTGAAAATAAATTAAAATGTTATGTGATGTAACACTTTATTTTCAGTACTTTCAGTATCCTTCAAGAAAAATATGAGTTAAATGAGAGTATAAATAACTTTTCATTTTGCTAGTTTTTAAATTATTTAAAATTAAAATATTTTTTGACAAGTTTAACACCCTGTATCTTTTTAAGGAAGCGATCTAGATAAAAAAAATTATAGGAAAGACCCTTTAAAATTCACCAAAGAATATGAGGTTTCATTTTTGGTCGCCATTTGTGATTCACTCTATACAAAAATGCGATAAATGCTGACAAATAGGAATATTTAGATTTAATTAAAACTTGTATTATGTCTCTGAATTAAACTTCTCTAAGTATAATAGTCTCAAAGATACTAAATAATTACGCACTAAGTTTACACCCTGTATTAGTTAACTGTACACAAAAATCTTGAGCTATAAATCAACGGAAACCACATACGGTTTAGATGCAATATCGCATCCAGATGTATTATTTACAGGTCATATACCGTTAGTTATTTTACCACCAACTGCAAAACAACAAACCAAAGTAAAAACTACAAACTCACCTTTTTTGTCATTCTTCTTGCCGTCCCCGATCTTATCTATTCTGTCCCTGGAGGCCGTCTTCCTGGGTTTGGCGCCTTTACCGAGCTTTTGCTCGGCATCTAAATTGGTGATCGACGACGTTCTCGAAAGATTATCCGGTAAATTCTGACCGTCGAGTTTGGCGTTCTGGCCTCTGCGAAATATGGCTTTGATACTCTTCATTTTCTCTAACTATTACTTTCCTGGTCAATTTTACTTTGATAGAGGCACTTTTTCGACGAGCAAGTTCGCTAGTGTTTGAGTAAAACCGTTTTGCAACACTTAAGGCACATTCTTACATTAACAGCACGTTTCTTTCGTAAATAGTTTGTATACGTAAATACTCGTATAAATATGCTAGGATATAGGCAGTTCCTAAGCACTTATTACTTTATCACTTAAGTGTACACACAAAAAATTGCACTTGATTTTTTTCAGTCTAAAGAGTCGAACTGTAATAAAATATGTATATAGGATGCCCCAACATATCGTATATATAAAACTGCGAGAGTTTCAAATTGTGTGTAAATTAAAAAAAGTAATTTCTCATTATCAAATGGAAATTCATCTGTTTTGGTGGTACTTTTCAAATAAGAATAATCGCATTGATTCAATGATTATGAGCAGTTGTAATTTTTTAAGTTAAAGAATGAAAAATATCCTGATATAAGTGCGTTGTACATATTTTAATTTATGCAGTTTTCAATAATTTTGTTAAAAGAAAATTTGAATTTCTGAAATTATGAAGGTTTTATAATCGAGTAAATAATTTTTTAAATGAAGTCTTGCATCGAAAATGAGAAAATACTTTAAAAAATTTTAAAAAATATTTATTTTTATGTTAGAAACTTAAGTACGCAAAAAATGTGTTTGCTTAAGAGTGGGTATGTTTTTTGCATTTATGTAAATGAAATTATTTAAGCTATATTAAAATGTTAAACCTGAACACAAGTGAGTAATATTATGTAAAAATAAAAGTTTGAAAGTAATTAAAAATAAACTAAAATATCATGCTGTTTGACGTCGTGTAGCAGTTAAACGAAGCAACTTAGTATAAAAATAATCCTAATGGTATAATTTTGATCACAATAATTTATGTTTCTTGTTCACGGAATATTAGGACACCCTATATTTCAAATAAGTTTACAATTCATTATAACCCTTATTGGCGGAAACAACTAAAATTGCTGTTAACTGTATTTTGTTGTTATTTCTCAAGACTAAATAGGTTACGCGTATTAGTACGTCCCTCAAAAGACATTTCCAAATCTCGACGCATCTGGTACTTAATCAAGGTCATTAGATATGATTTCTTTTCGAAGAAGGTATTGCTAAATTACATAATACTGAAGATTAACGAAATATTCAAGCAAAAATCCCATATTATATACAGGGTGATTCAAAAAACCGCTGACAGACTTCTAGGGTAGATAATACATACAAAATTAAGACGAAAAGTCTTAATAAACATAGGGTCGCAAATGCCTCCTTAGCGAGATACAGGGCGTCAAAGTTTCTGTATAATTAAACATTGTCTGCAATAATTCCAAAATGCCTGAACATTTCTATTTCAAATTTGCTATGCGTAGTTAGCACCTTAAGACCAATATTTGATGTACTGCTCAAAATTTTATGAGCTGCAGTGTCGTAGAGACGGGGTCAACGTGACCTTTTTTTAAAAATATTTTCTACGCCACTGCTAATTTTCTTTTTCGTCTTAATTTTTCATGTATTACCCTAGAAGTCTGTCAGCGGTTTTTTGAATCACCCTGCATAGAGACATTAATATAATCCGTATACCAAGTTCGACAAGAGTCAAAAATCCAGTTTAAATTTATAAACAGTGAACGAAGATCGTTCAAGATAATTCAGTGTTTGAGCTATTTATAAACCCATCTTTATGAATGAAATTTTCTAATTTACAAAGCAGTGTGGAAGGTCATATGATAAACTGTGCTGCTAAATGTATCAACATTAAACTAGGAACTAAATAGAGACAAATAAAATATTCTTTTTTAATATTTATTTCTCTGCGTAATAGTTTGTATAGCTTACTGACGTAAGGGGTGTTGCTCTAGCATTATGATTATTGTATGTATTTATTCAATAATATTTAACTTATATTTGGTTTTTGTTTTCCGTAAGATGGCTTTAATATTAACCGTGATAATTAAGCTGTTTACAAAAGAAACGACATTTCTAGCTTTGATAAAAAAATATTTTTTAAACATTAACAGTAATTATTGAACTGTCTATACATAATTATTGATGCTACTTTTTTAATTTTTTTGCTTGTATGTTTTTTCTCAGTGTTAGATTTTTTGATCAGGCAAAAATAGTTAACAAAATAACATTCCATTCATTTTTTCACAGGTGGCAAATACCCAATATATAGAAAACTATAACTGCGTCACAAATAAATAACCTCAGGCAATATATTACGATAACTTTTAACTATTTTCATCCTTAACGTTTAATCGGTCAGAATAGCTGCATAAAAGGCGATCGTATCAAAGTAATTTTAAGAACAGCCTGGATTAGCATACAAAAGCCTGATATCACAATAATTCATGCCAGATTTGTAAGAGATTCGGATTAACTCTCGAGAAAAGTACTGTAAACAATGCAGTCGTAAAACGTACTGTTTTGGTTATCAGGTACTTAATAAGCGATAAAAAATAATATGTCAACAGCGGAATTCACTACGTTATTTTATTTTTAAAGATATAAATCTCGCAATGTAACTTTGTAGGTGTATTTTAGACGCGATTAGAATCAAATATGAAAGTGCCTACTTGTATATCTAACATTTGAAGTAAATTGACGTTTATAAACCGATTCAAATGTCAAATCAAAACAAATAATGTTATCTCGATCAGTATCAGCTCTCATTTGTAGAAAAAAAAGAGAAACTACAAAGTTACTTCCTTAATTGACTTACAATAGGTCTTTAGATAATGGGATGGTTAGTTTACTTCAGCCTCTAGGTTCATCAATATACAGAGTGTTTATATATTATATCGTTTATATTCTAAATACAGGGTGATTCAGAACTTATCCAAAAAAATTGGGAATAGATGCAGCATGAGAAATGGAGTCAATATTGTAAAAAAATTTGTTGTAAAATCCTTATAGTTTCTGAGAAAAAAATTATTGAAGTTATAGCACATTAAACCACTACATAGCTGGACAACTGTAGTCTCTAGCGTCATTCGCAATACGCGTGGAGAGCCATGTGACTCCTAATACTGAAATCCGTCGTTGCGGTAGTTTTTACCTGTTATCTGTGGTATTTACATCAGTTTTTTAGTAGTTAGTGTCAAAAATGGCTTGCGTGTATAGCAACTCAGAGTTGATGGATATCGTTTTAATTTATGGTGAAGCAAGACAACATTTGTATTATGGTGAAGTATTTGTGTTATGGTGAAGCAAGACATCATTTGTGTTAGTTCGTAGAAAGTGAGTAAGACGGACCCAAATGTGTTTACACGTGAGTGGATAAAATTTTGAACAATTGCTGTTGCAGCATCGGGTATGTCAAATGATTTTATTATTTAAAAACACAAATTAATTTTATTAATAATTAATAAAGGCAAAAGCATTTGAATTTGCCGATATAAAATAGGTGCGATAAAATTCTATTTACATATTTCTTTCCTTGCGAAAGTTTTTGTCCGTTTTTATCACGCCGCCATACCGGTCGCATTGTGCGAGGTCAGGTTTTACAGTGGACCAGTTTCCAGTGCCGTGCAGAAGTGTATTTTTAAATCAATTTCGAACTGACCTTTTTGATTTTTCTTTACAAAATTGTATTTGTAAGGGTCCCCTGTACATTCAGAATTTTTTTTTTGGATAAGTTCTGAATCACCCTGTATATTCTATAGTTTAAATTCTACTTCTCTTATCAACAATAATAAACATACAGTTCATACGATCGTTGGTAAACATTTCGTTTTCTTTTTGATACAGAGTGAAAAAGGTTTACTATTTTCAGTAGGTACACATTTCTAAGACCATGTGTTGACATGATATTAGTATTAAAAAATACTACTACTACTAGAGAAGTATTGTGTGGCTTCTATTTTTTAATGGGAAAATACAAACAAAAAATATGAGAGTCATGAGATCTTGCCAATTGTAAGAAATACACTCCAATGCAGTTTATATTCAGGGTGTTGGGAAAAGTTGGTACAAAATTTAAGAGGGTGAAAGTAGGACCAAAAATAGTAAAAAAAGTTCCTATAATCATTGGTCCTCCGGAGCACCGTTACTGAGATATGACCTCCAAAGGGGCCTTATCATTTGGATATTTTTTAAAATAACTCTTTCTGATTAAGATAACGGAATGAAAATTGTAGGTAATAATCATGCCATAAGTGTCTTTAACTACCATAAGTTTCATGAAAATTGATTATAAATAAGAATTGTTTTGTAACAGAAATTTTTTTCGATTTTTTTTTATTCCTTTGAATTATCAAGCAAATATTATTTTTTAATGAAATAGACTTTTTTGAAGGAAAAATGTTCGAATTCTGCGTAGTTTAGTTAGAAATAATTATTTTTCAAATAATGTATGGGACAGAACAGTAACTTTTTTTTAACATTTTGACATAGTAGGCATCTTTCTGGGCGACAGTTTCGTTGTAATAATACTAATGGTTGCCACTTTCGCGTGCTATCGTTTAAATTTTTACGTCTCTTTATCTTCTTAGTTGTGATCTTTGTGCATGACTTTGCATTTCATTCGATTTTTTTTACAACCATGCACCATCATGAGCAGACGCTCTTCGTACACTCGCAGTAGGCTTACGTTCAAAAAATCTTAAAATTACTTCGCCTAAATCATATCTACGCCTCCTTGGACGGCCATATTCACGATATCTTGGAGTAGGGCTCCTGATTCCATAGCTCTTGCATAAATTTTCCGAAACAATCTTGCAGAGAGTTGCCTTCTATCAGGAAAACCTTTGCGATACTCTCCGCCAGACTATTTCCATTATAGATCCCATAAATAAAATGCATATCGGCATATTTACGGTTAGTAAAAGCATGATGGTTCATGGATGTAAAAAAATCAAATAAAATTCAAAGTAGAGCACAAAGATCACAACTAAAAAAATAAAGAAACATAAGAATTTAAATCATAGCACGCGA